TTCATACGCCAGCCATATCACAACCATTAATTGTCAGCCTACACCCCAGGTGCCCCCCTCTATATGATACCTAACCCTAACCCTAACCCTAACCCTAACCCTAACCCTAACCCTAACCCTAACCCTAACCCTAAACAGTTTAAAAATCGGACGGTCAACAACAGAGATACGATTTTTTCAAAGTTTGCCTATAAGCCTTAACAGATTATCTCCCCTGAATTTCAATATGCAAATTTTGGCATACCTTCTTCAGGAAATTGTTACAAAAAGACTACTATATATACAACTAAGTATGTATTACTGTTGGGGGACCCTTGAATCCAAAACATATCGGCGCATGCGCACTTGAAAGGGTTAGGGTTAGAAAAAAAGATCCGGCTAACCCAAACCCTAACCCAGGTTAGGGTTAACCCTAATTTGGGTTAGGGTTAACCCTAACCCTCATATATTCATACGCCAGCCATATCACAACCATTAATTGTCAGCCTACACCCCAGGTGCCCCCCTCTATATGATACCTAACCCTAACCCTAACCCTAACCCTAACCCTAACCCTAACCTAACCCTAACCCTAACCCTAATTAGGGGAATGGTAACTCTAAGTGTAAATTGGTAACCCCGATAATATTAGTGAGCTACCAAAAAAAATTGAAGGGGGTTAAAAGAGGGTTTGGGGGTGCCTAATAGGACCCTATAGTAGGTGCTGAAAATTTTTTTGGGACATCTCAACTCATTTCCGTTAAAAGTCAAATGGCACCTTTAGATTACCGCTAACCATTTTGCTTTCCGAATAAGGGTTAGATTTCTATAAAACGGAAGATTTGCTCCCTCAAAAATACCTACCAACCCCCGTCAAACCCTCCTCAAACCCTCCACCAAAAATGATTAAAGGGGGGTGGGTTTTCGCTCTTCGGAGATATTGTACCCGCCCGGGGTAGACCCAACTAGAGCGTCTAAAATTCATATGTATTTGAAAACGTTTAGAAATAATATTTTTTTTTATTCTTTAAGATATCGTTCAGATGTTTTGGTTCTATTCTTGTCTACCCTAATGCAAACTTTTTCTGCGAAAAAAATTTTGGAATATGTTCAGACAATTTTTTTTAAATATAGTTTATCTTTTTTATGAAGGCAACAGTTACCGCAAATGTAAAAATATGGCATATTTCTTATTTTCCTAATAACTTTACCATTTTTCAGTTCCAGTTGATGCACTAGGGCTCAAAATGTTGCAAATAGACTAGTAAACAAGGAAAACAAAAGACCAAATGTTCATCTGATGCAGTTTATCCTAGATTTTGCTTTAAACAAAGTTACCATTTACCGCTGCAACAGAAAAATGTAAAAAATAAAATTAAAACACAATGAAAAGTTTATCACTCAGAATTTTTTTTCGACATTGGTTATATACTGTTGGTGATTCGTTCCTAAGTAAAAGGACATTGTAGCAACCCAAAACAGTTTTTGGATTGAGATTAAATCACCGATTAGTGTAAAGGTAGCTATTTTAGTGAGGTGCCCCCTTGTACTTTTTTTCCACTTTTTCTTAACTTAAAAAAAAGTCAAAATCAATCAAGTGATTGGGTTGATCGGGTGAATTTTGAAAGCCATTGTTCCTCTTTCTGTTAGCTTTTGATGGATTCCTGTGGAAGATAATTCAAATAACTTCATTTTAGTTGTCATACCATGAAAGTGCATCAAATATTATTTGAAAAACTAGCAAACCGCAAACAGGTCCATTGGTTGATTTTTTTGGGTCAAAGCGGTAATTGGTAACCTTCATATGAATGAACTAATTCATCTATTTTATGCCGAAAATAGCACTTTTGTTAGGGTTTTTTGTTGAATTTATGTCAGAATTTGTAAATTTAGTTACCAAATACCGCAATTTTGTTACCAAATACCGCAGTGGAGTTATCAAATACCGCAACTAAGTAACCGTATACCGCAACTAAGTTACCGATTACCGCAAACTAAGTTACCGAATACCGCTATCTTATGCGGTGTTTGGTTACAAAGTTACCAAACACCGTTAAAAAAGTTGCCAAATACCGCAAGAAAGTATCCATTTACCGTTCTCATGTTTGCGGTAATTGGTTACAAAATCAACCAATTTTTTGTTATTTTACCTTTTTTTTTAGTTTTTTTTGCTGTTTTATGTCGTTTGGACAAATTCAAGTGAAATCTACCTTCTTTATCGTGTCTACGGTCCGTTTTGATATTTTCAATTGTGATGTCGAGAAAGCTGAAAATATTTATACAAGTGTATATGTACATGTGTGTTAATATATGTATATATGTATGTGTATATATGTGTGAATTTGCATATGTTTACCGTATGTGTACATTTGTATATGTGTACTGTACATGTGTATGTGTTAATGTGCATGTGTACATGTGCATGTGTATGTCTAAATGTGTACTTGTGTATGTGTATATATGCAGATGTGATATGTGTATAAATATGTGTATGTGTATAAACATGTGTATGTGTATATTTGTGCAAATATGTGCATAAATGTATGTGTACATGTGTATGTGTATTTGTATATGTGTACTGTATGTGTACATTTGTATATGTGTATTATACATGTGCATGTGTTAATATGCATTTGTACATGTGTACATTTGTATGTCTAAATGTGTATGTGTACATGTTTAAATGTACATATGTAAATGTGCATCTGTATGTGTAAAAAAAAAAAACAAAAAAAACAAAAAAAACACATAAAATGATGTGTATTGTATACTTTCGCATGCTGCTATCACTTAACCTACAGCTACGTGATTTATAATTTGTTAGAATAAGATATTGATCTTGAGATACGCGAAGAATCCTTGGTGTTCAATGGATATTTTGGATACAGAACGAAAATGAGTTTAATGAAAAAATGGGTCATAATTTTTCCATCTTTTTTATTTCTCAGAAGTTTCACACAAGACCTTCACAATGTGTCATATATGACACTAGAAGCCTTTCTACGAAGTTTTATTGCATTATCTATAGTAGTTTTGCTGTACTGAAAAACATGTTTAAAATTTCAATCGCAAATATTTCCCTTACTGTTGAAGTAAAACACAATAACTAAGCATTATAATCTTTGTTTGGATGAGTAATGTACAGGGTTCACCTAATTTGTATTACAATTCAGGTTCGAAGTAGCTAGATAAGATTTTATACCAGAAAGTAACCATTACCGCAAATTACTTAGCGGTATTTGGTAACCTAAGTCATCTATTGACCCAAAAATTACGAATTTAAAAAAAAAAGTTGGAACATACAGTCTTAGATGCATAATATCTTTTATTAGTTGTTAGTTGCTTTGGACTAGCTGTCAGTTACTGCGAGTACTCTCATATCTGTATTTAGTGTACCTTTGTTGTTGGGATGTAAAAGTACCCTGCCACGTCCACTAATAATTGTGGAGAGTTGTCTTATTGGCAAGCATACCACATCTTCTTTTTTTTTAAATTTAGGTGATTTATTTTTTACTTCTATTGATATTTAAACATTGTAATTCATATCAGAAGTGATTATCATACAAAAAAAATGATACTTTTTTCATGTTATAAAGTACCTTAGGACCTGCATTGCCTAATTTGGTCATTCTTCAGGTGGCAGTCGAAGAGAGAACACCAAAAAGGTAAGTTGTTATTTTTTTTGCTAACTTTTTTATCTCTTGGTCAATGTTGATAAAATAAATTGTAGAAACTTGGAAAATTGTTACTCTTTTTTTTTAATATTTGACATTTACCGAGAAAAAATATGCCAGACGAGGAAACTAAAATAAAGTAATTGATAATAAGTGAATTAGTATGCATAATATGTGAAATGACGTAACGTAATGCCATTCAATTTCGATATGAAAAGCCTTTTTTGATTGGCTAATATACTGATGATCAAAACATATCTTAAATTTAGTTTTTATGCCCCATTTATGGGTATTTTGTTTTCTGGTCTGTGCGTCCGTCTGTTCCTTCGTCTGTTCGTCCGTCCGTCCGTCCGTCTGTTCGTCCGTCCGTCCGTCCGTCCATTCGTCCCTCTTCAGGTTAAATTTTTGGTCGAGGTAGTTTTTGATGAAGTTGAAGTCCTATCCACTTGAAACTTAGAACACATGTTCCCTATGGTATGATCTTTCTAATTTTTAATAACTGTTATATTTTTTTCAGAATAAAAAGGAATTCCAGATCTTCAGTGGATGTCATTTTCTCACTTTCTTTCTTTAATTTTTTATAAATTGATATTTTTATTTTCTAAATTATGCTTATTCCCTACGGTTTTTTATGTTTTGGTATTTATGATGAGTTTGTGAATTCTCTTATGTTTTGTTTTAATCAACATATTCAGTTTCAGGAATTTACTTTCGGGGGCTACCACTACGTTGTTTTGTTTTCTAATAATAATTTTCATAATGTAATTGCATATTGTGAAGAACAAAGATTTATTTTTCTTAAGTTCTACTGTCTTTTATTTTAAATTCTTCCTTTTTCATTCCATTTGAGATTTGGTCAGTTTTATTTTCTAACTACTTTAGTTCCCTTTTACGTTTAGTTGTCTAGTTGTAGCATCTGCGGATTTTAAATGTAAGTTTTTTAAATGTTTATGTAGCCAATCTCAATACTATTATTGCAATATCATTGTTTATTTTCAGGAGTTGCCTACTTGACAGATTATTTTTCTTTTTTCTTTTTACATTTAGTATTTTCTATTTCAACTATTATGCCTACGTTTGAATCTCCATATGGTTTTGTCTGTTTTTTATCAAATTTTGAATTCACCGATGCTTTATTATTTTGTCAAAACAGTAATTTTGATGTTTCTGAGTTTTCTTTTCATGGTTTAAACTATATTGCTGTTTATTCAGTTCATGATTTTTTTCATTTAGTTGAATGGTGTGAGACTGAAGCATTAGATTTTCAAAAATATATTCCTTTATAAGTTTCAATTTTGTCGTTTAGTTTATTATTTTTCTTTTTTTATTTTATTACTTTCAGTTTACATGAGAAGAAAGAAAGCAGAGAAGATGATGGTAAGTACTACTGTATTTTATTGTTATATTAGTACAGTTATTCGACTAGACTAGATATGATCATCAGTCAAACAGATCATAAATTAATTGAAACTCCTGTTTACTAAACACTGCAATTAAGATACACAATACAACAATTTAGTTACCAAATACCGCAATTAAGTTACCAATTACCGCATTTTAGTTACCAATTACCGCAATTAAGTTACCAAATACCGCAATTTAGTTACCAATTACCGCAGCTATGTTACCAACTACCGCAACAAAATTAGCCTTAACGTTAAAGTATTTGCGGTGATTGGTGACAGGTTACCAATTACCGTAATGGAGTTACCAAATACCGCAATAACGTTACCAAATACCACAATAACGTTACCGAATACCGCAATTACGTATCCAAATACCGCAATTTAGTTACCAAATACCGCAATTTAGTTACCAAATACCGCAATTTAGTTACCAATTACCGCTAAAGTATTTGCGGTGATTGGTTACAGGTTACCAATTACCGTAAAGAAAGTTACCAGATACCGTAATAACGTTACCAAATACCGCAATAACGTTACCTAATACCGCAATTGCGTATCTAAATACCGCAATTACGTATCCAAATACCGCAATTAAGTTGCCAAATACCGCAACAAAGTTACCAAACACCGCAACAAAGTTACCCTTTACCGTTTATTTGTTTGCGGTGATTGGTTACAAAGTTACCAATTACCGTAAAGAAAGTTACCAAATACCGCTACAAAGTTACCATTCACCGTGCATGTTTTTGCGGTGTTTGTTTTCAAAGTTACCAAATACCGTATAGAAAGTTAACAAAAACTATCAAAATTGTGCTAAATTCTGAGTATTTGGTGTCCAATTTTAGGTATTTACACCATATTTGATGATCGAAAGTTAAAATCAAAGTAACATGTTTGCAATTTCAGGAAAGTGATTCCTCATCTGATCCGGATATTATTGATAGTACACCAAGATTAACAAGGTGGAAGACAATACCGAAATTAAATGTTTGTTTCCCATTCTCAAAGAGGAAGACAATAAGTCCAAAGACAGTAACTACAGATGCAACACAGAATAAGAAAAAACGTGGCTTAGCTGTAGCTGAAAAAACTCACCCCCAAAAACCACCGGTTCTTAGAAAGGCATCAACCAGTAGTGAGTCTGCATATAACCCGTTCGACGATACGGACACGGAAGATACAGATCAGATCACTAGCTGTGATCAAGTAGCACCGACACAGATTGCAAGGTCTAAGAAGAAAGGAAAAGATCATTCACAGTCAACTGAGAAAAAGAGAAAAAGACATCCAGATACTTCAGATGGGGAGGATGCAAGTGCAAGTTCACAACCAGAAAGTAAAAGGAGAAGAAAAGAAATTCCGAGTCAGAAAAAGACAAAAACACCACGGGGATTAGCACTTGCAAAGAATTCTAAGCCAAAAAAACAACAAACCACACCCAGTAAAAAAGAGACCAAACGAGTGCGTGAGCCTCAAAGTTGTCCTCACTGTCGAAAAAGTGTTATTAACATATGGAGACATTTGAAGGACATTCACTCAATTTCAAGTCTGCCGAACAAGGACTTAATAAGGAGCAAAAAGGGTTATCTTGTGAAAAGATGCCCTTACAAAGGATGTATGGCTGTTGTTGACAGATTAACCGATCATTTAGTTAGAAAGCACAAAGTAGCTAGAAAGTCATATCAAATCAAAAGACTCACGATGAGAGCCGAAGCTATTCCCTCGACATTGGATGTTTCTGGGAGAAAATGACAAAACGTTAAAAAGCACATCAAAAAAGAGGATAAAATTCAGAATATAGAAATAAGCTCGGAGGACGAGCCCGTCAAAGTTAAGAAAGAACAGATCACAGTGAACATTAAGTTAGAAAAGAAGAACATTTTAGAAAAGAAGGACATTATTGAAATAAGCTCAGAGGAGAAAAGTTGTGAAGAGGATAGTTCAGAGGAGAATCGTTGTGAAGAGAATAGTTCAGAGAAGAATAGTTGTGAAGAGAATAGTTCAGAAGAGAATAGTTCAGAAGAGAATAGTTCAGAAGAGAATAGTTCAGAAGAGAATAGTTCAGAAGACAATAGTTCAGGAAGCTCAATGATAATAACTGATGATAGTGATGAAGAATCAGCTGAACAGGAGGAAAAAAAAGAGTATTATTTTGAGAATGAAGAGATAAAAGAGTTCATCAAGTATTTACAACGGCCACCTTATCTGAAGGCAAGAAAAGACGCATTGCAACATGCGTGCCAGGTGTGGTTTGTATGGGGTGAACTATCAAAGGAAAGAAAGATGAAGGAACTTTTCAATCTGGACAAACTGAATGATTGGCTTAATGAATTTCTAAAACATCATGCTCCAGGAACTGCACGTTCATATTTAAGTTCGATTGGATTGTTTGTAGGGCATCTGGTCAGGCAGGGATTTCTAAGGAAGAAAGTTGGGAAAGCCCTAAGATTCAAGGAAGACATCAAGCTACTCAGCAAACAGATTCGGAAAAAAATCCAAACCAGAAAGACTAAACTGGCTGTGGAGGAAATAGGTAAGTGTAACGTTAATGTCTACATGAAACTACAAACAGTATTCGAAACGATATATCCACATAATACACACAGTTCAAACACACACATACACACAAATACACGCACATACTCTCTCTCTCTCTCTCACACACACACACACACACACACACACACACACACACACACACACACACACACACACACACACACACACAAACACACACAAACACACACACACATGTATGCACATACTCGTAAAAACATGTTTGTGTATGTGTATATGTGTTTGTGTATATGTAGTTTTGTATGTGATTGTGTATGTATATGTGTGTTTGTATATATTTATGTGTGTATTGGTGTGCTAAATGTTTGTATATGTGTGAATGTGTATGTGTCAATATGCATGTGTGTGAATGTGTATGTGTGTATATGCATGTGTGTGAATGTGTATATGTGTGTGTATATGTGTGTATATATAAATGTATATGTGTGTATATGTGAGAATGTGTGTGTATATGTGTGTATTTGTTAGTATGTCTATGTATGTGTGTTTGTGTGTCTGTGTGTGTATGTGTGTCTGTGTGTGTATGTGTGTGTTTTTTTTTCTCATATGCCTCATACCAAATGTATTTGAATAACACAAATATACAAAACGATGATGAGCTATTTGTTTTGCAGAGACCATGATCACGCCAGAAGATTTTTCTGAATTTTGGCAGAGTGATGTTGCCAGTGAGGCGGAGGCGAAGTTAAAAGGGGAGATACCCGAGACAATACAACAAGCTGACTTCTATCATGTGAGAAATTACCTTTTGCTTAGGCTGTTACAGTCTAACGCACAAAGGCCTGGAGCCATCAGAAATCTAACACATCAATCCATAGAAAGGGCCCATACAGACAACAACGGAGCAGTTGTGATGGTAAGTAAAAGTATGACTATTGCTTTAATCAGTTTGAAAAACAGTTGTGTACGTAAAGATTAAAAACAACGCAAAACCGGTTGTTAAAAGGACTGCAGCAACAAATTGCATGAATCTTTAGAGACAGTTAAAATTGCCAATAGAGAAGCAGTAGTAAATATTATGACTATAATATAAGTTTAATGGGAGTAAAAAAAAGATCAACAAAAAACATGTGTTTTTATATACAGTAATGTGATACAAAGTTAACAGATACTGCAAATAGTTATCTTTTATGTTTAATTTATAATGCAAAATAAATTACCAGTTCTATTCCAAAAAGTTTCCATTTTACCGTAAATGACTTAACGGTATCTGGTAACTAAAATGCGGTAGTTGGATACATAGTTACCAGCTACCGCAAAAAAGTTAACAATTACCGCAAAACGTTACCATTTCACCGCAAATGAGGAAAC